GTTGACCCTAGTACAGTGTGTAGGGTTCTATATTGTTTTATCACATTTAGATTCAACTGGCCACGGGTATAATCAACATACTGGTGTAGTCTATCACCATAAAGATGTTCCTCACGGTGTGCCTTACTGTCACACCCAATCTCTCTCCCCAACACCACTGCAACCACTGGCTTGTTCTCCATCTTTAAAATTCTGTCATTTTCTGAATGTTTTATGTCATATTATTTTCATTTCCTGAATGTGGGTGTGACACAAAAACCTGTGGGTCATATGAGAGGAAAGAAGGGAAAGGCTGGAGGAAAGAGGTCACTGCCCACACTGAGCTTCCCTCCATCCCATGGTTGCAAAGCTGAAGAGGGGACCTTAGAGCAGGCTGCAGGGCCAGTATGACCCTGGAACTCCTTTCCCTCCTCTGCTTTGGTAAGTTCCTTAGGATGGTGTGCTGGGGTTCAAGATGAGGGTGGGCTGACAGATTGAGAGATAGAAGAATACAAAAGAAATAACGTCAGTTTGTATTTACTGATTGCTTCACACACGTCAGGACCCACGCTGGAGGCTTTACATCCATCCACTGCTCAAGTTTTTGCCAATATTCAAATATGTACATTCCACATTTGTGATGGTATGCTATGCCTACACCACCTTTACTTAATATATTATTTACTGACAGTGAGTCAATATTTTTCTTTAAATAAAGGTATTTATTTGAAAATGGAAACTACTTAGCAATAATTTAACAATGCATGTCACCTACCTGAAAAAGGAGAATTAATACAAATATATAATACTATGGAAAGGCAGAAAATGTTAGGACATTATAGCCTTATGCTCTTTTCAGGTTTCTGAGCCCATGGCTGACCACTTCCTAGCTATAAAGGGCGATGAGCCAGAGGTAAAGTTGTTCTAAAGTACGTCAAAATGATCTTCTCTCCTTGATGTAATCAGAAGGGTTTGATTGAAAGGGTAATAACTTTTTTTTTTAAGATTTTATTTATTTATTTGAGAGAGAGAGAATGAGAGACAGAGAGCACGAGAGGGAAGAGGGCAGAGGGAGAAGCAGACCCCCTGCCGAGCAGGGAGCCCGATGCGGGACTCGATCCCGGGACTCCAGGATCATGACCTGAGCCGAAGGCAGTCGCTTAACCAACTGAGCCACCCAGGCGCCCGAAAGGGTAATAACTTTTTGATGCTGTGATTAAAGCTATAGGATATTGTGTCAGTGTGTTGCCTAAAATCATCTCCTTGAGCACCTGTGGTTCATATTCCAACCTGTGGGAAATACCACTCTGATCCTTGCAAACAGTCCTGCATGGTGGGAATTAGGCCCACAGGGTTAAATGAGGACCCTGAGATTGACAGCTGAGGGTTCCTGCGCAGGGCCACACAGAGAATGAGCAGAACAGTCAAAATGCAAGCCCAGCCTGTCTGCCTCTAAAGTCATGACTGTTCCCACTGGGTTATAACAGGAAACTAAAATGGATACAAGTATGGCATCTCCAAAACAGAAATGTCCTTGGGGTGATTGAACAGATGCTGAGTAGGGCAAATTCTAAAGCATAAAAGAGGAGCCGCTCATCATGGCAAGTGAAAGGCCAGTCACAAAAGACCACATTCTACACGATTCCATTCATATGAAAGTCCAGAATAGGGAAACCCACAGAGAAAGTAGGTTAGTGGTTGTTTAGGGCTGGAGATGGTGGAGGTGGGGAAATGCAACAAAAGTAGAAGAGTAATGGGGTATCATTTTGAAGTCATGAAAGTGTTTTAAATTTGACTGTGTAAAGTTTGCACATATCTGTGAATATAGGAAAGCCAATGAATTGTACATAGTAAACAGGTGAACTATATGGCAGGCATGTGAATTACATCTCGATAAAGTTGTTTAAAATTTCCTGGGTGTGGAATGGGGTACAGTTCAGGATGTCTATTTGCAGGTGCGAAAAACCCTAGTGTCCTCAGACAAGGACAGTGTGTGGTTTTCAGCTTGTTTTTGGGCACCATGACTAGATCTGAATTTTTCTTTTTAAAGATTTTATTTATTTGTCAGAGAGAGAGAGACAGAGCACAAGCCGGGGGAGAGGCAGAGGTAGAGGCAGAGGGAGAAGCAGGCTCCCCGCTGAGCAAGGAGCCCAATGTGGGACTCGATCCCAGGACCCTGGGATCATGACCTGATCCGAAGGCAGCCGCTTAACCGACTGAGCCACCCAGGCATCCCTAGATCTGAATTCTTACCACATTTCTCTGACCCCTAGACTCTAGGATAGTCTATAGGGCTCTCTTTATGTCAGACCTCCACCTTGGGAAAATGAAAAGGATTCCATTCTTAGGTCTTCTGTGTTTCCAGGAGAGGAGTGAATCAGGTGTATGTTCTGGAGCCTCCACTCCTGCACATGCTGGTCGATTGTATTTGAAATACATCACATGGTGCTGGGGCTTGATTTCCTTATTCATACAATGAGGATAATTATGACCATCTGCAGGGCCGTCACAGTGATGAGAGACTGTGTATGCATAGGAAGATTACTGTTATTTCCATGGGGGAATGAATCCTTCTATCATCCCCCCTCCCTGGCTCAGGTGCTATTTCTGTTGGAAATCGCTCATGCAGAACTCTCCATCATCTGTCAGTGAAGCACACAGGTCCCTGCTGGTCCCTGCTCTCTTCTGTCCTTGACAGAATGTGTGCCCGTTAACAGGCTCCAAGGCACCCACCCCTTGTGAGATAAGACTTCTGAGAATGGTCTCCTCTTATCACTGTATTGGTGATGTGCAGAGTTGACACAAGATGCCAGTTAGATAAGCAGCCAGGTGGTCAAGTGTGTATCCAACCAACATGTCCTTCCAACCATGTTGCGTGAAGCCCTCAAGCCTCAGAGGGACACCCCACTCAGGAGGCAGGTAGAGGGTCCCGGTCCCCCCCCACCCCAGCAGTGTCTGCAGGAGTGAGTGAGGGCAGGTGTTGAGGCAGGAACTGAAGAGGTCTGAATGTTTCAGAACCCTGTGTGGTCCTTAGCTGGGAGATGGCACATTGAGGGCATTAAGTTCTAGTAGGAATTCACTTAAAATCACTTCAAGATGCTTTATGATGGTATTTTTTTCTTAACTAAGTTTAATTTATAGGCTAAGCTGGGTTTTCACACCTGAATTCCTCCCTTTGCTCTGATTTTCCAACAACTATGGACAGCTTAAAGTACCTTCATATTCTCTGACTCTACAACATCACACTTGCTCCCATAGGAAATCTCATTTCATCACTAACTCTGCTCACTTTGCTCTGTGCAGTTACATGAAGTTGATGTAGGTCTTCTACCTTTTACCTACTTTCAGCAACATCTGAGGTGGCACGTGTCTGTCCTGGGAGCTCCACCCATTCTGCAGGGACTAGGCAGGAGGGACAAAGGTCCAGGCCCCCAGGGCTTTGATGCACAGGGACTAAGCTCCGTCCAGAAGTGGGGGTCAATGCTGCTTCCCATGTGCAGCTTCCAAGTGGATTCAGGTGTCCACAGGCCTCTGCTGTCTCCACACTTGTCCTTCCTCCATTTCCTGGGGTCCTCTGACTTTGCAATAGCATTCCTTCACATACCTTGGCACATGTCCACTACCTTCCATTTTCTCAGACTGCAGATTTAATTTTCATGATGTTTGCATGTGTTTGCACCTAAAAGTTCCAGTAACTTCTCACCTTCCCCCTGAAACACCAAACTGTTCCTCCATACAGAAGAAAGAAATGAAATTTCTGTTCTTAGAAACACAGGCCTAGCTAAACTCCTACTTCTCCTTGTTAACATAATATCCTTCTTACAATAATATTCATGTATATGATATAAATTTCCAGGAGATCTTAGCACTCAGGCAAAAGTATCCACCCCACACAGATACTCCACAAATCATACTATTACCACCCTCTATGCCAAACTGCATTTAATCTAGCCATTTCTTCTACAGCCTGTGTTACATGTTCTAAATTGCTCCACCTGAGAGAGGAGGCAGTAACCATGGGGAAGCCTAGTGACTGGGTCTGACTCTAGCCAACTCCTGCCATTACATAAGGCCATCTGGCATAAAGTGACCTGGAATCTTCTCCCTCAATAATGGCTTATATCTCATGGGTGATTCCTTTACAGGGTTGTGTGTTGGCCAAAGAGACACAATAGTTCGTGAGTGTTCTTTTTTTCTTATTTAAATGTTACTAGTTTTTTCATCCCAAATTCCCCATCCTTTCCTTCTCCTCTAAATGGAATGTAAGGTGAGTGTGTCATCTGATCTGAGCTCTACTTCTTTCCAGGGTTGCTTCCCAAGCCTTCTCTCAGTGCCTTCCCCAGTTGGGTGGTATCTCCCAAGAGTAATGTGATTCTGATGTGCTCAACTCTTACCAGGAACGTAAAATTTGCTTTCAGAAAGGAAGGAAAGCCACTCTTGGATCCCATGCCGCTACCCAGTTCTACAGGGATCCAGGTTAAAATCTACCCCTTTCACCTGAGTCACTGATGCTGGGGAGTACACCTGCAAATACTCCATGGAAAAGGCCCCTTTCAGAAGCTCTCCAGCCAGTGATACTTCTCTACTGTGGTTACAGGTGAGGTGGGGGTACTTTAGGATGACTTTTGGCATCAAATACAGTTTTCCTTGGCACAGAGAATGAGGCAGAACTAAAAGAAGACTGGGAGATGAGAAGCTCTCACCCTCCGTGCCCCCAACTGAGAAAAATAGAATAATCCAGAGTCAGCTGGTTGAATCCACGCCTTGGTGGGAGTCATATCCCTGCCCTGACATCGAAAGAGGGCCAAGATCAGGGATCTCCCGTCTTTTCTCCCATGTCAGAGCTCGCTCCCAGAAGGCCAAGGGAAGAAGAGAAACCAGGCTACCGCTGACATTCTGCTACCGGAAGTGACCGTCTGTTAACGGAAGCGATCTTCCATTACCGGAAGTGACCTTCTCTGACAGGAAGTGACCTTTCTTTACAGGAAGTGACCTTCTCTTACAGGAAGTTTGCCCAAACTTTCTCTCCAGGCCCTCGGAAGGCATAAGGTGAACCCCGGAAGAAATGTGGCTCTGCAGTGCCACAGGCCAGACAATATGCTTGAAGATGTAATGTCTGTTCTCCTGACAAGTACTAGAAAGCAGGTACAGCACCAGAGACCTAAGGAAGAGCGGACTTCTCCCTTCAGAACGTGACAGTCAATGACACTGGAAACTACAGCTGTGTCTACGACCAAAGGCTCCTTTCTTGGCCTCACACCCCAGTAACCGCCTTGAAATCCTGGTAACAGGTAAGGTTTTACATGATGTTAAGAAAGATTTATTTTAAGATTTTTATTTATTTGACAGAGAGAGAGAGACAGCGAGAGAGGGAACACAAGCAGGGGGAGTGGGAGAGGGAGAAGCAGGCTTCCCACAGAGCAGGGAGCCCGATGCGGGGCTC